ACAATTACTATATAATAAGTCAATGCTAAAACATTTCCTAAATGAAATATGTTAAGAAAAACATGATTCAACAAGTCAATGTCTATTTTCATTCTTTTATTCTTTCCTTTTATTTAGAAGACTTGGCAGTCTATTATTGGTTGTATTTGTTTGTTTAGGAAGAAATGATAACATACAGCCTCTATAATCTGTATGGCATTAGCCAGTACCATTGCAGTTATAGATTAAATCTTTATGAAAGGACACAAAAATAGTAGAACTTTTCCTATTTTGTTTCAACTCATTTAATTAAATGTTCTATCTAGAAACCAAGTGAAAGCTCCTAAATAATTTCTGACATGAACTGGATTTTTCTTCTGATTCATAATGACTGATTATAACCCTACAGCAGTTATAGAAAATTAATTAGTTATAAAGAACAAGAACTCTAGAAATAAAAATGCAGAGGCTGAAAATTGAATTGTCATCTTTTTATACTGCATGAATATAGTCTGACAAAACTAAAGAAATTAGGTCACTAAAATAATATTTTAAGAGTATCTTTATTATACATGGTTTTCTCATCAATATCTATAATTCATATTACAATATGAATTATATTAACCTGTACATATAATGTTTTATTTCTGATTACAAGTTTGCCCAAACTGCTACATGTTGTCAAGCATGAAACTTGTAAAAGTTCAAAGTTTAGTCCATGGTCCTAATACTTTTGAATTACTTGGGGACTCAATCTCTGGAGAACATATCCTAGGAATCTGTACTTTGCTGAACATTTATTACTGTACACTGCTGCCAGCATTCTGACAAGGATGCCAAGGTCTTCACTAGCTATGAGATGCAGATGCTCCAAGATGCCATATTTCATCCTTTCTTGGAATTTATTAGAGTCAACAGTTAGAATCCATAAGCACAAGTAAGCAACTGCTTTAAAGAAGGGATGAATTCTATCCTTTTAAAACCATCTCTTTGGTGTAGAAATGTATGAGCTAGTGACAGTATCCACTCACAATTGTTTTACATCATCCTGGAAAATTTAGTGATTATTCCAGCAATTACCATATTGAATCACTGATGGACAAATTTTTATGTTTTCTAATGGAGATAAGAAAGCCTGTAATAATACCCCAGAAGACTCTGAACAGAAGATTCTGCAGGTGCCCTGTTTATGTAGATTTTTTAAAATTTAGTTTTAATCACTATAGTTTATCACCTAGAAAAAGGTACATGAATTTCAGTATAGCTTAAAAACAATAAACAGCAAGAATGAATTTCTTATGGGAAGGAAGCAACTATACATGATGGTGTCAATGGACCCCAGAGCCTCCCTAAAGCTGACTACATTTTCGATTCTTTCTTCCTGTATTTCTCCTCCTCCTCAGTGTCTTTTTTATGTCATTGCCATTGTCAACACAAAGCTTAGACATATTGCACACCTATTAACACCTCTGATATTCTGGCCTAAGCACTCTGTAACTCTTTATATAGCTGAAATTTGACTTCAAAATCTTTATTAAAGATTAAGTATAGTGTTTTTCTAAACTGTGTGCATAGGATGTTCAGAGATTTTATTTGGGAAAAATAATTATTATGGCTTAAACGTTGATGGAGTACAAACAAAAGCCAAATGTTTCACCTATAATTTCTCAATACCCAAGAAAGATTATTAGTGGAAATGATACAGAATTAGAAGGGTAAAACAAGCCAATCCTTGGTTTTAAACACTGGGTTGGGAAAGTTATACTAGTTTTGTATTAGCTAGCTATTGCTGCATAACGAATTAAGTCTTAGGTAAAAATGATAAACATATTTTCTCACACTTTTTGAGGGTTAGGAATCTAGGAGCAGATAAAATAGGTTGTTTTGTCTTAGGGTCTCTTACAAGGATGCAACCCATGTGTCAGCCAGGGCTGAAATCATCTCAAGGCTCTTATTGGGGAAAACCCACTTGCACATTTAGGTTTTGCCACCGGGATGCCCCTCCCAGCATGTTAGCAGGCTTTCCTCAGTGCAAGAAATTGAGTGTGTGTGTGTGTGTGTGTGTGTGTGTGTGTGTGTGTGAGAGAGAGAGAGAGAGAGAGAGAGAGAGAGAGAGAGAGCGCGCGTATATTGAAGTTGGAAGCCACAATCTTTTATAATCTAATCTTGGAAGTGACATTTAATCATTTCTTCCACATACTATTCATTAGGAGTGAGTCAATATTTCCAGCCTACACTTAAGGGGAGGGACTTATATAAGGGCACGATAACCAAGAGGTGGAGAGGATCACTGAAAGCCATCTTAGAGGCTGCCTTATAATGTTTCTTTACTGTAGGAATTTTAAAATACAGTCATGTGTCACTTAATTGGGACATGTTCTGAGAAATGTATCATTTGGTAATTTTGTCATTGTGTGAGCATCTTAAGAGTGTATTTATACAAATATAGATGGTAGAGCCTACTACACATCTAGGCTATATCTATATACCTTTGTTTATGCAGTTTATCATTGACTAAAACATCACTCTGCATCATATGACTGTATTTAATATGTAGTTTACCATTGTAAACATCTATGGGGCATAGTGCAGTAAGTTATACTTTTCAAACTCTAACTTAAAGTCCTTCCATCTGTTTTTATGCTGCCAATTTATATATCCACCTAGGATTTTAAGGACTTGCTGACCAAGTTATGATTGATCCTTGGACCAGACGTTTATTAGAAACACAGACTCTCAGGTCCCACCTTGATCCACTGATTTATAAATAATATTCCTTATCTTGGCATCAGCATCTACCTTTAGATATTAATATAATAATTAATCTTTCTTTTAATTGGTATTCATATGGCATATCTTTCCCCAATCCTTTCTTTTTAACTTGTCTAAATCCTTATATTTCAGGGTTTCTTGTAGACCTTTTTTTTTTTTTTTTGGTAGATTGCATAAATACACTTAGTTGACAACGTCTGCCTTTTAATTGGGGTATTGAGGCCATTTACATTTGATGTGATTATAAATATAGTAGAATTTAAATTTACCATCTTTTTAATTGTTTTCTATTTGTCAATTTATTCTCTAACCTTCACCCCCTGTATTCTTGCTTCCTTTTAGGTCATTTTATTATTCCATTTTATCTTCACTATTAATTGATGAATTACATTGCTTTTTAAGATAGTGTAGTGTTTGGTCTAGGTTTTTATAAAATATTTAAAACACAATTTATTTAATAGTATTATAGAAAATAAAGACTACTTCCATGCTTTTCATCACTTTGACCAAAATACCTAATAAGAACAAATAAGAAGAAAAAGTGTGTTTTGGCTTATGGTTTCAAAGCATTCAGTTCATGGTTGGCTGGCTCCATTCCTCTGGGGCACAGGTGAGGAAGAACATCATGGCAGAAGAGCATGGCAGAGGAAACTGCTCAGCTCATGGCAACTGGAAGCAGAGAGAGCTGGTCTAAGGTTTACAATATAAATCTTTTACTTATTATAATATAGTTTCATGTACTATAAAATTATTTCATGTATAAGAACCTTACTATATATAGTACATACATTTCTCTTTCATCCTTTGAAGTATTGTTGTCATACATTTTAATCCTAAAGATATAAATCTCAACACATTGCAACTACTTTTGCTTTAGATAGTTGTCTTTGAAAATGATTAAAATAATTTCAAAGTTTTATTTCTTTTCATTTTTGTCATTTCTAGAGCTATTTATTTCTGTTTATAAATCCAAATTTCCATCTGCCATCATATTCCTTCTGTGGAAATGACTTCTTTTAACATTTCTTGTATTGAATGTCTTCTGGGCATGGGAGAAAAGCAACATTTATCTTTTTTGTTGTTTGTTTTTTAAAAAGATATTGTAGCTGGGTACAGAATTCTGGATCAATGGTATTTTAATCACTTTGCATAGTGCCATACAAAATTAAGCCAAATCAGAATGAATGTGGTTAGGTCAAAGCGCTGTCTTGCATGAGCCAAGTGCATACCTTACTAGGGAACTTTAGGATTTAAGAACTGGATATGGTCTCTGGTGTTTATCTGGAGGCAGATCCTAAGGGCCAGACACTGAGAATTCAAGTAATGATGGCTTAAAAAAAAAAAAAAAAATCATCCCTGGAAGAGTCCTTTACAAGAAAATTTCTGAACTTTTTGAACGTCATATATAGTATACACATGGTGCCAAGGAAACGTTTAAGGGCAGTTGGCTTAACCTTCCTTTAGGCCAGGGAAGCCTAATCTACCCTATTCAGACCTTTAGAAAAAATGAAGCTTTAAGTGTTTTTAAGAAGATGATTTCTGACACACTGGGTTCTCTAAGGAATCTCAGCAGTAGGCCAGAATTAAAGAGAAAATGACTTCTTGTTCTACTTGTGTGGGATATTAAATTACATTAGTGGGTTTCTAGGGCCTTGAAGGTCTGTTCTTAAAGACCAATCACAATTTATATATATATATATATATATATATATACTTTTTTTTAACACGTTGAAAGGTAAAACAAAATAAATTGGCTTTTATTTATAAAAAGAGGATTGCTAGGGCCTTCTCTTTTCTGGGTTGTCACGCATGAGCTCTTGGAGACCTGGGCCCCCAAATTCCACAGTTCATGGATCAGTCATGTCCTAGGAAACACTCACGGACAACCGGCTCCCTTTTTGCAGCCTGCTTCCGGGTACTAGACGCCGAGGCGACACCGCCTGGGGCGAAGGGAGAGGTGGCTGGCTTCGCGAGAACCCGAGGAGGCGGGGCTCTGCCGCCGCCCC